GAATGACCTCAGCACAAATGGTTGGCGCAGCTGGTGGACTCCTCTGAGCACCCTGCCTGTGCTGAGGAGAGCCAAGGGCCCCAGCTCTCTGTCCAGGAGGCACCCCTCACCCTACAGCACCCTGCAGCACCCTGTAGCACCCCGCTTGCTTGCCTGCCTGCTGAAGCTGAAGGGGACAAAAGTGTTGGCAGCTCACAGAATTGTTAGTAGAAGAAGTAGGAAGTCAATGGGGAAAGTCAAAGAGCTATTCCCATCTCAGCATCAGGCAAAGCTGGCTCTGAAAAGGATTGAATAAAATTGAGTGCTGGAAATTAAGGCATAGTGACTGTATGAAAAGCTGCCATCAGTGATGCACTGGGTAAATGCTTATGGCCCATTTGAATATATACAGATAAACTGAGTATTGCCATAGACTACAATATTGAAACAGCAGTGCCATTTATATTCTGGTAAAGGAGCTTGATGTCTGTGTTTCAGCAGCTTTCTCTCACACATGCCCTTGTTAATAAGCCTCCATACCACCAAAGAGTGCTCTCTTGGGTTCAAATGGCATCAAATCTTCTATCACTCTAGGTGCTGTTGGTGCCTCTCATAGTATGGAATGATGTGGGTTTGTGTAACTCTGAAACAGCAGTACAAACCTCCTCACCCAACTTACTTCCTTTGGAAATCACCAAAGTCATTGGCTAGGGACACTGTGAAAAAGGGTTCACACTAAAGCCAACACTGGAGAAACTGAGTGTCCTGCTAACGGTGTGTTGGAACAGGCAGTCTCCTCAGGGGCTCTTCAGGTGCTCGCTGGAGCAGGGCAAATTTCTCTGTGAAGGGGCAGTGTTCTAGTTGCAACCGTACCTCTGGTATCATCTGGCTTGAGCACTGACAACCCTGATCCTTTAGAGCTGTATATGGTGTGTACCTGAAGAACTGTTGCTATTCTGATGGGAGTGAAGTGGGCTGTTGTGTGTATGCTAAGGAAGAGGGATAAGGGAAGAGAAGGAAGTATTAGAGAGGTGTGGGAGTCCTTCTTGATTAGGTCCCTTCACTGCACCTGCTTTAACCCAGCACATTGAAGGCCTTTCCCAGTCTGTGGAGCATCCTTCAAGAATGAGTGTGAAGGAGCAGCCTGGAGCGGCACTAGACCTGTAGGCCATCAGCACCACAACCTCAGTCCCTACATCTTATCCAGAAGCACAGGGACGGCTGGGAGCCTCACTGCTACTCAGGACTGAATCTTCTTGCCTGCTCTCTGGAGAGAGGGCAATTACCTGCACTGGAGACCCAGAGTACTTATGGTTATGGGGCTGCTCTGCTCTCTTCTGGGACATTGTCTTTTACCTCTGTCTTCTCAGCCTTCCTCATGAAACTGCATCCCCAGAGGTAGCACAGAGGCTTATCAGGGCAGTTCAAGCCCTACAGGTCCCCTGCATGGCCCCAGCTCTAGGGAACAGGGAGGCCTGCGTCACAGCTGCATGCATCACTGCTGCAGATACACAAACTGATCTATCTCCTCAGGAGAAAAAACAGTGCCTCAGAGCCAAGATCTAGGACCTGCATTGTGTCCATGACCCCAGGAGCTGCTTTCCTCTCCACAATCACGTGGAAGGAAGCGGACTTTGGCACAGGACTATAGCCTGGGTGCAGGTACTGAGAACAGGTGAAGTGCCTGCAAGTCACTGTAGTTGTCATTAATAATTTCAGCTTCATCGTAATGCTTTGTGGTAATGGTGTGTGTGAGGAGTCTGACCACACTGGGCCCCTTGAAGGGACCTTGGACCAGTTGTAGTTTGTGCCTGGTCTCTAACGCTCACTGACACGGGCCGTCTTGGTAGCCAAGGGCAAGCGCTGACAGCCCACAGTCATTCTGAGCCCTGCCATCAGGGACTCTTACTTGGCATAGCCCCAGAGCAAGGCCCATGCACCAGCACAGGGAGCTGCTTTGCTCCCTCAGCTGTAACGAGAGCCCAGGCTGGACGGAAGGGCTGAAAAGGGTGGGTCTGCTGAAGGGTCCCTTGGGCTTATGATGGTATGGCTAGAGCAGAAACAGCCACTCACTCTGATCCATGCAACACGTCCCTCTCCATAGACAGGGCAGATGGATACCCCCTTTCCCCCTCCCCGGCTCCCCCTCTTTTCTTCCCTCCTGGAGGTCACCTTCAGCAGGGAGGCAGCGTGCCCCCAGGACCAGAGGCAGGGGGAAGGGGCGGAGCGTCACGCTTAGCCCCGTAATGCCTGGCAGCCCCCTCCGGCTGCTCCGTGCAGGCTGAACCCAGCCTAGAGTCTGCGGCTGGAGAAGCGAGGGAGTCCACGGCTGGCTGTCAGTGCTGTGCTGCTGGAGAAGGTGAGCGGCTTCGTGCGGGCAGGGAAGGAGTGTGGGAAGAGAAGTGACAGCCGTAGCGGGATGAAGGAGACAGGACAGGAGCATAGAAGGGCACCCACCCCTCACAAACTGGTTTTGGAGACTCTAGCATAGCGTGCCGGCAGAACGTGGAGTGCACCCATTTCCCACACCTGGTTGATGGTGAGCTCCTTGGGTGTCTCTGCCCCAAAAGGTTGTTTTTTGTCTAGTTGTGTCCAGTGAGATGGTGCCGTAGTGCTGGCTGGTTGCTTGGGAGGAGGGTGTGATGGGGCTTGGTCCCAGTGAGACTGTGTGTGCCATCTTCTGCCCGAGGAGGCTGCTGTGTGGATGGAGATTGTGGTATACTGCTTGCTGGGGAGAGGCTTACAGGGCTCTCTCTGGGGAGGCTGTTAGGTGTTTCTGCCCAAGAAGAGCGATACACGTTTCTGTAAGGGACGGCGATGCGGTTCTCCGCAGTGATACTAAGCACTAGTCTGCTGACCGCTTTTAGAAAGGACCTCATAAACCCGCCCACAGAAAGGCCAGAAACAACCACAAGGATAATCTTTTCAGGTCCCTTGCGTGTATTAAACGTGGTTTGCACTAGAGTGGACCTTATGGGGAAAAAATAGTGCCATTCTTGAGTTGAAAGTTCCAGAGATGGAAGGATATTCTTCCACTCTGATGAGATTTTCAAGGATAAATGTCCTTCTTCACAAAATATGCCCTGCATCTGAGGTATGAAACTGCCTCATTTCAGCTTCAGCTATTCATTTTATTATAAAGCTTTTATTAATTATAATGCTTTTACTAAGGGAGAACCCTTTGTAGTGAAATTCTAGTGCCCACAAAGGTATACATAGATGACGGAGTAACTTCTTTGCTCTCTGTTTGATAAGCTAAAAAGACTGCTCCCCTGGAAGTTTCCCCTGTAATTGGAAGCCCCACTGTCATTCTGTCATTCTCATGGTTCTTCTCTAGTCCTTTTTCCATCAAACCATGAACACCAGCTCAAGCTTGCTGATCTATGTTTTCACCGATACCATTAAAATATAGAAAGCATCTAGTAGCTAATTCTGTTAACCCGTCAGCTAGCCTCTGGAGGAGTTCAGGAAATTTACTCTAGAAACCATCCTTTCACATCAGTATGTTTTTAACATTATAAAAAAATCACAGAAAAGTAAATAAATAAGAATGCAAAGTAGAGCACATGGAAGGAATACATTTCTAATCAAAACACAAACCCCGCTGGTGCACAGTGTTCTCAATTCTAGTGAAGATGTCGTCAGCAGGTGGCCAGCTTTTCAGAAATACAGCTTTCCTAACTCAGCTGATTTTCAGAGATTAAATTTCAGACTGTCTCAGGGCATCTGTGTGTAGGAACCTCTGCAGAAACCAGAGTTCACTGTAGGAGGCACTTCGCCTCAGAACAGATCTCTTATTATGATCTGTCTCAGTCTAAGTAAAGCTGAGCGGCTATATCTGTTTTTTTTTTTTTCCTAATTTAGCATCAGAAAAATGCTATTTTGCCTCTTGCTGCTGCTGATTCCTGTGTCTGACACTTCTTGGACATTCTCTTCAGCAAAGTAAATGCAAAAGTAACATCAGTAACCCTTGTAGGGCCAATCTTCTAGGGTTGCATGTGTATCCTCATAGATGTATATCTATATCACTGTAGATTCTTTCTAGGGCAAGTCTGTATCACCCTACGTATTAAGGTCTGCAAAGTGAGGCTATACGACATCTACATTTTTGGGTTTACATAGTGCCCATTTTATTTACAAAGCAACATGAAGAACTAAGATTTATTTTATTAATATGATGTTTTTGTTTCCTGTCACACAATGCCAGGCTAAATTCCTAAATTTTTTTGTCATTTGAAAAACTTTCGTGTGCGTGTACATGCATGCACTAGTTTTATCAAGCAATGCATTACCTACCTAAACTCATGTTGCATCATTCACAAACATTTTCTGGATGATTTCAGTGCTTTCTTCTAGATCAATAACAAAGGTAAAAGTATTCTAACAGGGTCAGGATCAAACAAAATTAATTGTGTGGAGTTAGGACACCAATAAAAGACAATAATTCCCACTGTACTGTGCTTATTTTTAAATCCATTAAAAATATGAGGCTTATTGATTTTGACCAATGGCATGATTAATTTGTACAGAGAGCTTTCAGAGAATGGTCAGTGAATGGGATGTTTCTGGCTGTGCTGTTTGAACCAATACTGGGCTGAGAACTGCTCCAAACTCTCACCAGTGATTTAGAGGTTGATGGGAAACCTCTGTGGATAGGGTCCTTCCACAGCCCCTAGACAGAATGATTGTGATGGTTGGATAACAACAGAGACACCAAGTGATCTGAATTACTTGATATACTAAATCCATTTGAGCAAAATGGGATTTATAAAAGCTGGTGGGAAAGTATTTAGGCAGAAATGCAGCAGGCAACACCCAGAAAGGGACGTGAAGAGGAAGTGGAGCTTTTCCTCCAGAGCCCTCAGTAATTTGGAAAAACTCTGGAGTCATGATGGATATATGAGGCAGGGCAGCTTCCCAGTGTGTCAACCAGAGAGGTTGTGGAGTCTCCATCTGTGGAGGTACTAAAAACCTAACTGGACACCTATATATGCTTGGGAGGATATATATTCAATATATATTCCTATATAACCTGCTTCAGCTGCTGCTGCTTGAGATGAGGAATTGGATTAGCTGATGTCAAAAGGTCCCCTTCCAGCCTAAAAACCTCTGTGATTCTGCCATCATAGCACTATTTCTGTTATACAGAGATTACACTGTCCTTGGCTCTGTCCTTGGCTCTTGACATGTATGGAGTGCTTTTGTGGACCAAATATATTAATCATTTTGGTTGAAGAACCAGAGTAACATTACCTAGCTAAGACACTGTGTCTCCATAGGCTAGCTCCTCCTCAGCTCCTCAGGAAGCTGGAAGGCATCTCCTGGTGGTGGAAAGGATGTGAATTTCTTGCTGCTGTAATGAGAAACTCTTGTGGGGAATTAGAGTTTCTCACAAGTTAACAGCCTGGAAATAAGACCTATAGCAGGGATGAAGCACAGGAAGGATAGTGGATGAAAGAACAGTTTTGAATAGGACCCTGCCTGCTGACTTCAATACAGCACAGCAAAACAGTGGGTGCATCCTGGCCAGAGCCCTGGGGGCCTCCTCCTCAGTGTTTGTCACTCTGCAGAAGGCAGATGGCACTCTAGAAGGTAACAGAGGTAAATACAGGGTACCCAGACATGCTTTACCCACTGGTGACCCAAACCTGGACCTCACTTAGCTTCCTATGTAATGGCAGTGGTATCTCAGAGAAAGACCTGACAGCTTTGGCTATTTCCTAAAGTATGGACTGTATAGTGTAATCAGTTTCCTCAAGGGCAGCAATGGCCAAAGCCTGAAGACTTTTCTGGAGTGACTGCAGCTGGGGCTTCCTTCGTATGGAGCCCTCGTCACACCCACAGTATTGTCATTGTCCCACAAGACATTCTACCCATATCCTCTGGTTGATCTTTTTTTCCATGCTGGCTATTTTACTTTGATGGTCTATTCTGTACCTAAAAGTCTGCCCTCCCATGCCAGTGGGGTCATGCATGAAAGTGAGGATCCTTGGCACCTATACTGCAGTTCACTTGAAATGTGGAGTGGAAGGACAAAAGAGTTTTTGGGATTATTTTTTAACTGCAAAAGCTTATGTACTGAAATGTTTTGACTCCCAAAGCTGGAGTAAGAACCAAGAATATTCAGAGAAGCATATCCTCCTATTTACAAAAGGAAGTATTTAATACAGTAAATAGAAGTGATGAATCATTTAAAAATAGAATAGATGAATCAGATAATAAATAATACAAATAAAATTAATTAATAAGTATTTTAAAATGACATCATTATTGATTAATACAGTGAGCGGATGCACTGAGAAGATTCTAACCTTTGGGTTGGATAGCACTAACAGGTGGCCAGCCTACAATGGAAGAAATTTTATCTAACTCAAGTTTGAGAAATAAAGTTATCCAAGAAGATCGTGAACCATTTGCTAACAAGAACTTGTCCATGACCATGAATTTGACATAGGAGAAACACTGTCTTACAGAAAAGATCTTTTAGTTGGGTTTTTCCCCTCCTCCCAAATATGAATTTAATGTGTTCTGCACAAGACAAGCAGACATCTCTTCTGTTGTTTCACTCCCTGCTTATTGTGGCTTTAGTCTATTTAACATCAAGGGAGGTCTATGCCTTTCAAAAGTCTATTACACTTTAAGGTTTTTTTTTTCTCCATATTCCTAGCTAGGTCTCTAAAACGCTCTTTCAGATATATGTTTTAACACTTAAATGTGGCAACACCACTTTGGCTGGGCAGCAAGCAGGAGGACATCAGAGCAAAATCTCTGAAATACTTTCCAGACTTTCTCTGTGAGTTTCTCACCAGCCTTCCATTCATTCCCTCCCGTGCATACACTAGTTCATTGTTGAACTCCCCATGGACTTTACTAACTTTCACTGCTGTTGGCTCTCACACCGAGCCAAAGCCTTTGAAGAAAAGTAGGGCAAATTACTTTGTACTTCTGAACTGGGTAAGACTTAATGCAGTCTGAAAGAGGGAAGGAAAAAGAAAGGGAACTTTGCAACAGTCAGTCCCAGTCTCATGTATAAATCCAGCCCTTTTGTCATTTTCCTAGTTTTAAATAATTCTGTTGCTAAATTAGTGGATTCTTAAGAATGACCAGATTAATTGAAAATTATTGGAAATTGAAAATTGAAGGAACTCTAACAAGCTCTGGTCACAGACAGAACAATGTAAAAACTAAGGGAAAAGGCTTCATACTTTCTGCTCCCACTCATATTCCCAGGATGCCATCTTCCTTTTTAACAATGATGTGAGGTCTTACTCCCTCCTCTGAAGGTGTCGTGTGTCAGAATGTTTGATGGGAAGAGGTCCTGAGTTTGTAGGTGCAGAGGTGAGCCGCCAGTTTTACACTAGAGCTCTGTCTCATTGCACAGTGTTTACCACATATCCGAGAATGCTGCAGCCTTCGTGCTCTTGGGTTGTTGGGTTGCACCCTGGGCTGTATTAGGCAGTGTTACCAGTAGGTCAATGAAGATGATCCTTCCTCTCCTATTGAGGCCACATCTGGGTCCAGTTCTGGGCTTCTCAGTGAAAAGAGATGTGGACAATACTGGAATGAATCCAGTCTGTGAAAATGATTAAGATAGTGAAGCATCTCTTGTACAAGGAGATGCTAAGAGACCTGGGACTTGTTTAGCCTCAGAAGCAGAAAGCTTGATGGGATCATCTTGTTGATGTGTATAAATACCTGTAAAAAAGACACTGCCAGATTCTTCTTACTGGTGTTACGTGACAAGGCAAAAGGCAATGGGCCTCAAATACAGAATTGCTATTTAAGCATAAGAAAAAAACATTTTTTCCATAAAGGTGGTCGAACACTGGAACAAGTTGCCCAGAGCAGTTGTGGAGTCTCCATCCTTGGAGATAATCAGAACTGGGCTGGACACAGTCCAGAGCAACCTGCTATAGTTAACCTTCCTCTGCACTAGGTGATCTCTGGAGGTACCTTCTGACCTCAACCGTGCTGTGACTTTGGTTCTGTGACCTTGCTCCAAAGCCAGGAGAGTCTCACAGGCCCAGGGTGCCTGCATTCAGAGCACAGGGAGGTAGTCAGGGGGAGAGTGATGCCATAGGTGCCTTAAAATGTTGCCTTGTAGCTGGCTGGGGGGCTAAAAAGCATTTCTCTGAAATGGGTCTGAAGCAGCTGGCTGTAGGTTAGAATGCCATTGATGTCCAAGCTTCCTTCCTGCCCGGGTTTCTTGGCTGCACAGATGAGTGACTGCGTCAGAAATGTCAGCAGGCATGTGAGGTACTGAGCTCCCTTTGGCTTGCTCTGAGCACGCTGCCTGACTAGTAATCCCTTTTTTGTCATGGGCTAGATGTGCCGCTGCCTAAGGAACAGGCCTCTCTCTGCTGCTACCTCAAGGACTTTCTTCAGTAAGAAGTGAGGGTGAGTTTCTGAGTAGAGAGGCATGGTCTTGCTACAGTAGGCTAAGGAGAGTAAGATGACATGGTACCTTGGAGACTAGAATAAGAGGAGGCCTGAAAGCCAAGCTGACACAGAAAGGTGATCCAGGTCCTTGAAAAGAGAGGCTCCAGGACTACAGTTAGAGTCTGGAGGCCAGAAAGGATTAGAGGGTTGATGGAGGTTCTCTTCAATATGGGACCTGTTACATGATGAGGGGCTCTGCCCAGGGGTGTACTGTATAAAAGCACAAGTTCAACTCTAGCACATCTGTGAAAGTACTCAGGCTCCAAGTGGCAGAAGCACCTGCTGCCATGGCATGGTTTGCATGGCGAGTTTGATCTGGTTTTATCTGTGCATGTTGTGATGTTCCTGACTTGGGCTGTGGTGTTTCTGCAGCACTCATCGATGGCCGAGAGCTCAGCTGTGGCTGCAGCAGCAGCAGGGACAGCGGCACCAACCATGCTAGAGGAGCTCCTGGAGATCACAGCTCAGAGCCTGGTGCGCACTGAGGTGGCTGAGCACTATGAGGTTATTCGGGAGCTGGGCAGGGGCAAATATGGCCACGTGATGTTAGTGACCCACAGGCAGAGAGGTAAGGAACTGACTGTGCCCTGTGAACCACTATGCCTTGTTTCCTCTTCACTCACCAGAGTGTTGGGTGGGCTGGTGGTTCCCTGGGGCCAGGCACCAGGCACCATGAGGGTTCCCCAGGGAACGCTGAGGACAGGACCTCCCCAGCCAGGCAGCATCCCATTGTGCTCAGGGGACAGACCAGAACATCAGGCAAAGTTATACTGGTGAGGCAGGTGCAGGGTCAAGCTGGGAAGTCAATCCACAAGTCAGGATCAATAGGACTAGGCATCGACACGGATGTGGTATAGCTGGAAAACAGCACTCCCACCACGTAGCTCAGGCAGGGAGTGAAGCCCCGGGCCTGAGCTTAAATGGTGCCCTAAGGCCCATGGATAGAGGGTGTGAGTAGAGGTCTTAGGTGGAGTTGGCCAAGGCCATTAAGGCCTAATAGCACCCACAGAGCCCTGACACTACTCTTCGCCAGTAGTCCCAGTTGAGACTGATGAGCCTGTGTAGCCTGAGTTTCCCTTGTGCTGCCCAGTGCTCCTGTGCACTGACTGGCTCAAAACCCACACCAGTGGCAACACCTGGTCCCAGATCTGGTGTCCACAGGATATATCTACACAAAGCTTTGGGTCAGAGACCTCTCTGTGGCTGTGAGTGTCCAGTTCCATGGCTGCTCAGTGCCCTCTCAGTTTGGCTTTCAGGAGAGTCAAACCCACTCTTCCCATTCCCAGGGACTCCTATGGCTCTCAAGCTGCTACCCAAAGCCAGTACCAAGCTGCACACCTTCCTGTATGAGTACTGTGTGGCACTCTCCCTCGCCACTCACCCTGCCATCATCGGCATGTTTGGAATTGCCATTGAGTCCAGTCAGTACTATGGCTTCCTCTACGAACCAGCACTGCACAAAGATCTCATCTCTATCATCAAACCCCGGGTGAGTGCTGATGTAAGGCCATGGGGACTGGGACTGTAGCATTTGTCCACTGTGTGGGCTGGCTGGGTCAGAGGGAGGTAAGGGCAATGGGCTGTTGCATTGATGTCTACAGCATTGAAACAGCTTCAGGCTTGCAACACCAGAAATACAAAGGTCTTCCCCAGTGCAGAGCAGGCAGGTGGAAGTGTAGCTAGCAGGGCTGCCAAGGTGTCATGAGTAAGTTGCACTGCCTGTCTGTCTCTCTGGGCAGGATGGGATCCCCGAGCCAGCCGCTAAGCAGTGTGCCAAGCAGCTCGTGAGTGCGCTGGAGTTCATCCACAGCCGAGGACTCGTGTACCGTGACATCAAGCCTGAGAACGTGCTGCTTTTCGATCCCGAGTGTCGACGCATCAAGCTGACTGACTTCGGGCTTACGCGGCCCAAGGGTACCAAGCTGAAGCTGGTGGCCGGGGTAATCCCCTATACCGCCCCGGAGCTGAGCAACACCGCTGATGCCCAGGGGGTGCCCATTGACACCAGCTTGGACGCCTGGGCCTTTGGCGTGCTGCTGTTCTGTCTGCTGACTGGCTACTTCCCCTGGGAGCAGAGCCTGCCAGATGACCCTTTCTTTGAGGACTTCATGCAGTGGCAAGAGACAGGCCTGGAAGAGGACCTGCCCCGCCACTGGAAACGCCTGACAGCTGAGGCTGCCCTGATGCTGCGGAGCCTGCTAGCCCTAGATCCTGCCAAGCGTTGCCCCGTCAGTGGGGTGCTGCGCTATGTCGATCGCCCTTGGCGACTGGAGGATGGCAACAGCCAGGAGGCTGCAGTGAAGCCCTAGAGCCTGTTCCCCATAGGGGCAAGATGGCAGGTCTCACCCTGCAAGGGACTTCAGAGTGTGAGGCACCATGGTGGCCTGGGTGTGAGAGGCCATGGTGATCCAGAGGGCAACTTCTTTGTTGTCATGGAGCCAAGCTCCTTCTCCAACTGATGGTCCTCACCCCATGGTTCAGTGCTGCCCAGTGCCACCTGCTTGTGCTTCATTGGGGCTTGAAAATATCCTTCTTTTGGAAATAACTGTCCGTGTGTGAAGCACCCGCTCGCTTCCTGGCCACAGGGACTCCAGGGTGTTTTCTAGGTGCTGCAGTGCCTGCCTTGTCTCAAAATAGAACAAAATATGTACTTTTGTGTTTGCGTATGCGGCTCTTTTTCCTTCATAATAAAATGTCTGTGGGGTCTGCTTGATGTGGGAAAGCAGGGGCATGACAGAGCCTGCTGCCATCTCAGGACAACCTGTACATGGCAGGGACCACCCCTCGATGCTGCCTGGGCCTCCACCAGAATCCTTGAAGGGTGGCTTCAGGCTGGTGGGGTGGAGGTGCTGGGAAGCTCCCAGCATGTGGCTGCAGATGGTAGCTGGGCACTGATGATGGTGTTGAGCACACCTCCCTCCCCGTACTGCTTTCAGATCCTAAGAGAATGTCCTTCATGCTCTTAGATGCCCGGTTACTGCTCTAAGAAGGTCTTCCTTCTCCCATTTCTTATCACCACTTTAACCCTTCCCTAGCAGCACATATCTCCTATCTCCTAATCCCCTGGTGTCCTTCTAGGTGCACAGTTTAGTCCTGGAAAGAAGTAGCAAGTAGAGAATTAGAGGTTAGAAGCTCTCATTACTTTACTACCTCTTTCCAGTCCCCAGGATTATGCTGTTGGTAATCCTTCCCAGCTCCTAGCCTGACCCTATTGCTGGAAACATGCCCATCTTAGTTTCCATTCTCAATGGCTTAGTAACTTTAAAAAATGCACTGGTCCAGCACCATAGTTTCTAGTATCCCAGCTTTTTTTTCACCTCAGATACTTTCCTGCACACACTCTTCCGTAGTTGCCTGACGTCCAACTGTCTTTTGCCAGTATCTTCTCACCCAATGGAATTCTACTATTACTTATCTTCCTCATTAACTTTCCCTTTCTACTACCCATCACCTGTTAAACACCTTTCATTCATCTTTCTCTCAGCAACATCACCTTCATACTACTCTTTTGTACTTTTCCTGCTCTCTACATCACTTATCCCTCATGTCTTTCTTCCAGCTCCCCAACCTACCTTATCACTGTGCTTGCCCTGTTCACAAGACATTTTTCTTCTGTCCACTTCCATATTTTATAATCTTTCATTACCCCAAAAGATAATGAGTGCTGCACAACTTTGGCCTGCTGAGATTTGGGTTTAGTTACTCTTTGATCACTGTAGGAATAGCACAGGAGTGTTAAGGTACCAACACTGTAGCTGTGTTTAAAGTGGAGAAGCCCTAATGGTTCTAAAGGCCAGGTAGCTGACAACTATCTGATGAAAAATAGTGGAAAATCTGATACAGATGATTGCTAATAGTGAGTTATAGGTTAGGAACATGCCCTTTGGAATATGATACTCAGCATTGTTTGCTAAAAAAGTTGTGTCCGATAAAGTAAATTCATAGCATTAGAGTACACAATTTGTAAGGCATGACCTATTGATATAAAGGAAATTCGAGTATGCTGTATTGATTAAGAAGATGTACTATGACAAGCCAATAAAGCATAGTTAACTGAACTGAGAACTTTTAGTGGACAGGAGAAATAATTGTCAGCTGGAAATGCTGTCTGGTTATTTTGGTTGGTTTCTGCAGGGATCAATATTTGAAAACGATCTACATTTCTATCCATGATTTGAAGGTAAATACAAAACCACAACAGGTGGAACACTGACATCTTTGGGGAAACAGAGAAAACTGTCTGATTTCAACAGGACCAAGCATGTCTTCTTGCAGAAGCCAATCATGTTGATGAGGATCAGGGATTCAGTGCTGCCTGACAAAGATGATGTGACAGAAGCTACTGACAGCGAGCAGTGGCAATGAAGAGGAATGTTTCTCTTTCTCCTTTATCACAGAACCTTAAGACTTTGGCAGAAGGGGTTTCTGCTTCAGGAAGTTGTGTGATACATAGCTAAGTGATGAAATCAGCACTGTGGCTGCAGCATATGTGTGATGGTGATACGAGCAGGGTAACAATGGAGCTAGCACAGCAGCGCGCACAGTGGCAGACCTGCCCCGAGCCAAGCCCTCAGCCTGGTCTCCTTTCCTCAGCGGCTTAACCATAACTGCAGCTGGATTTCTTAAATCAGTGAATAAACAGACCTGTTGAAGCCCCCCCAGGGGGTCTGAAAACAGATCTGCTTGTCCCCATCACCCCCGCAGCAGCTGCTCGGAGAGACTGAATGGAACGGAGCTGCGTGCAAACATGCTGGCCCTTCGCACACACAGCCACTGGTGCAGGAGGGCTGGCCGGGTGCCCCGCACTGTAAAGGGTAACATTTCAGCTAAGGCAGGCACTAGGATCTGGTGTCATACCCAAAGAGGCATCAGGTGGCTCCAAAGGGGAGGGAAAGACCCAGTACTTCACTCCTCTCCAGGGTGGAACGAAGAGATAAATTGGGTAATTACAGAGCTCGCCAGACTATGTGAATTCTGGCAGCAGCATCTGTGGTCCAAGAAGTGTGAATCCAGGCACTAGCGCCTAGTGCAGCATACTGCATGCACAGGATAGGGGCATGGATCCAATGGCTTTTGGTAGGACACATGGCCTGTTTCTGGATTCCCCAGTGGACCTCACTACAGATTCTGCTCCCTGTTTTGTGTGTACACCCCTGAATAGTCATGGTCAGCAGCAGCCTGGGGATTGTGATACAAACAAGAACCTTCAGAGTGTATGGAAGGTATTTGCCAGCACTTTGGTATTGCAGGGGCAGGGTGATGAGTTGAGACTGGATCCATTAATTGGACATATCCTTTAGTCATAGCACTCCTTACACATAGGAAGTGTTGGTAAGAAAAAGTGGAAATGAATGCTCTTTGCTACAAAGATGGGAAATCGCAGGCAGAGATGAGTCATCTCAGAATTAAAATGTTGATTATTGAAGAGAACACTTAAGCAAATTATCTGGGCTAACCACAGGTCAGCAATGCCCCCAGCACATAGACCATATTGTGCTGCTGGCTAGACTCAAGACAGAAAGGGGAGAGTAGGACCAGGGTGGATAGCAGGGCCAATGTAATTTCCTCCTATATGAAGATTAATGAAAGTCACTCAACTGGACTGGCTGACTCAGTGAGCAAAGGCACGGCAGAGGTCCAGCCTTTAGGACCTCTCCAGTTGGGCTTTTGGTGTAATTTCTAGAAGCGTGGAGCATATAATCTTCTTTCTACCTTGTTGACTGGCATTATGTCACTTCCATCCCTTCCCACTTAAACATTGTAAGATATCATTAGTGGGACTGTGACTGAAGATTTTTAGGAAGGGCAGCAAAGGAATAATTCTCCATATTCCCCAGAGTTCCTTTGTAACCTTGTTTCCTGAGCAAGACTGCATGCTGACCATTGCGTGTGACCCTTCCGTCTCTGCACACAGATGCCAGGTCTGTAGCCAGGAGACTGTAGAGGGACCCAGAAATGAGTGGGGGAAAGCATCTCAGGGAATGTGATAAAGCAAATGCAAGACAGCATAGTGCCTGTGCCTCCCTCCACCAACACTGCTTATTCTTGAGTTTTGACTTTCACTTCAAAGACAAAGCAGGCAGGACCTTTGATAAAAAAAAACCACAAAATATGACCTGTTGTGAACAACTGTCCTTCTGAGCACAGGGATGGAAAGAGATGATGGAATTTGTTGCCTTTCATTCTTACTCGCGTAGGAACATTTTGGCAACAACTGCAACCCAGCTGATGTGTTCTAGAGCTGCTTGTAGCTGAGAAGCCATGAGAAGTCATAAAAACCCACATTGTCATGCCAAAGGACAAAGAGCTACAGGATTGAAACTGTCTGGATCAGAAGACATGTGGTTCCTGACTGGGAAACATGCAATGGCTCATGGAGTTTCAGCTGTTAGCCTGAGTGGAGATGCATGAACTGGAGGGAAATGCTTTAGATAAGAGATCAAAGGTGTTTGATCTCTGCCTTGGTGTTTCCCACATCCTGTAGCTTGGGTTGCACAGTATCTTGCTACTATAATTTTAGTTCTTGTGTTGTGCTGGGCTATCTGTGTCAGTGCTGACCACAAGAAGAGAACTGACCACTACTAAATCCCGCAACGATTCTCCAGTATCCTTGGCTTCCCTACTTACAGTCTGTTCAAGGTCTGACAGCCAGCCGTGCCAGCCAATAGTCCAGGCTTGTCCATATACAGTCCTGCCTGTTGCTGTGGGTGTGTTTGTTGTTTTCCCCTGGGCTGACAGGCAGCTGAGCATGTTTATAAGCCCTGTGTCATGGCCCAGATTTGTGCAGGAGAGGGAGGAAGGGGGATTTGGCCTGGCCCAGTGTGGTGACAGAAGGTGGTCACAGTTGTCATACAGACTAATTGCACTTCTAACCCTTCTTTGCTGTTTACAAGCTGCACCCCACTGAGGACACATGTCTCTGGCTGGCTCCTGTATCTCAGAGTTAAATCACGAGGCTCCTGCTCTCGCTTTAGGCCCTGATAGCCACCTTCTGTGTGCTAACTCGGAATGCAGCTTCCACCTGAGCTTTGCTGGCAGGTTTCTTAGCAGAGAGTGAGAAAGTATTCATATCTTAAGTGGTATAACAGTCTGTTATTTAGTTTGTATCTGATATCTAGCTATTTAGAGCTGGCTTCAGGAAAAACAGCCCTGTTGCCATGATTGCTGCTGAGATGTCTGCAAACAACCACTTGGAACAGGCAGATCTGAGTCCCCTTGCTTTGTCCCCAGAGCTACTCTGCACCTGGCTCACCTGGTTATTTTCCCTCCTTCAGCTCCTGAGGAGCTTTGAGGGGTCTTCTTTGTGTGATACTATTTCTTTTCTCTCCCTTGCTTGCTTTTCGTCCATCTTTCTCACTCCTCCAGCCCTGCTTCTGTATCACTTGTCCATCCACTAAATTTCACTTTTATGGGGGTCGTCCTGCTGCCGAAGAGTTATCCCTTGATACAAAACCTTGGAAGGCTTTGCTCTCTCAAGAAGCAATAAAGGGTGCTTAGTGTACAACCTGATGGCTCCTTTCACTGGGCTGGGAGAGGTGCTACTCTCACTCGTGACTTATTTGAATCACTGGTGATGTGGGGAGCTGTAGCAAGAAGAGGCATGCACTTGTGTCCTCAGGTTATACCCATACTGCTCACAGTACTTCAGAG